CTCACTAAGCCACAACGCTGGGCCCTCTGTGAAGGTTTTGAAGTATCCTCATACAATTCATTTTCTTTAATTTTGGAAAATCACATAGGATGAACCACATTGAGCCATTTCACAAGGCCTTTCAAGGGTCAGCTCTTGCCCTGTGGTCCTTGTGTTGCCTTCATTGTCTCATGAATAATCACAGTGCCAATGAAGATTGTTCAAAGTCTTTGAATTACCTCATGCAGCTTCCCCACCCAAGCCGAAGGTATCATTTGTCCATTGTGGAGTCAAGTGCTCTTGACTGTAACTCCTAATTGCAGTAATCCAGGCTTGTGAGCTCTAAAGGTTTTCAGAATTTTGATCACTTTTCTGGTTATTGGGATATATAAATGTATGAACTTCTATTCAAATTCAAAGATCTATATTAGTATTAGTAATTAAAATCACTGACATGCTGTACTCAGAATGTACTAATAATAACAAAACTGTTCTCAGCAGAGAGGATGATTGAAAGAAAGAAGTTCAATCTCCAGCTACGTTTCATTAAGTCTTTCCTCAGTTTTGAACTTGTCGTTGTTGTATTTATTATTCACAGATTCGGTTTCTGTGAATTCACCTGTGGTCTAAAGTTTATTGGTAACCTCAAATTCAATATTTGCAGTGGTCATTTGAGGACATATTCTGAGCAGGAAAAATTTGAGTTGCCTGAATTTCAATACCCAAGTAGAACAAGACGAATCTCTGCCTTTATTTCAGCTCCCACATTGTGGACAAGTACCCTTTCCGGTGTATATTTAGTACCAACTTTGTCTTTCATATACATTTTATTGATGATTGCACTGTTTATAAAGACTCCAAACATAGTGCCAAAGTGCTGCCTAGTGTTCATGAGCACAGGAAGGTAGTGATGTGCCTTATAGAGAAAATATATGTGTGAAGCTGGTTCTGTTACAAATTACCATGCTGAAAGCCATGGGTTCAGTGGTACTGAATCAACACAGTAGTTAAATAAGAAGTCTTTAAGCACAAACACACATAAAGCAAGCTTATATATAAGTTGGTTGATAAGCATGTTGTGACCAGAGACTAACAGGAGCCTAACCCTGTATTTCCTCTAGAAACAACAGCTTTGTATTCACTAATTCCACATTTGTGGTAACTTTATAGAAAACAAAGAGCTAATGACTAAACAAAACTGATTGGATCTGCAGACATAATTGTACTTGACTTTCTCAACTGCCCATTGAATGTCAGTTATGCTGAACATTCAGCCTGTACTTTGAGGATGGAAAGTTAATGAGAGGCTTTGAATACCAAGTTTTAAACTAATGGAAACTTTTATATGGAATTCATAAAGACCTAGAATCAAAGCTTTCTAATAGGAGTTCTCATGAACCTTAATTCTCTAAGGCAAATGACATCAGTATAATCTCACTAATGCTCAGCAGAACCCAGAGCTATTATTTCTGACATGAAACATAGTGTTTTACTGATGGAAAGAGTGAAATAAGAGTGGAAATGTTAATTATTCTGTCAGGTTTTTTTAAATGTTCACTGCTATAGGGTTACGTATGAATCATACTAAGTTTTTCAGAAATAGTGAACTGTTAGATTCAAGTAATACTAATAATAATCCAAGAAATTCCTAACCATCTCCCTTGTAAGCTTTCACATAAAGGGTTAATTTTAACAATAAGTTAAGCACAAAAAGAGCAAATGAAGATACATTGTAAAATAATTTTTCAAATCATAAGTAAAATTGTGGCGTAGAGTCTTGACCTTTGCTTACTTAACGATTCTTTGTAGTGAAAGTAAAAGTTACATCAAGGAACTCTTACTCTTTAATTTATAATCAGAATCTTTTAGCATAAAATGTTTTCAAAGAACTTTTTTGAGTCCCTCCCTGTGAAAGTCAATTACATCAGAAGTGCTTAGAATATCCCCAATAATAACAAATCAGCAATAAGTAATTTAAATTTGTGACTTAAAAAAACAATGATTTTTAACTATCCTATAACTATAACGTAACTATATGTCTTTGGGGGCAAGTACTGAGCTGTTATACACATTTGTGATAAATTGCAAATTTATATTTCACATTGAGTATTATTCCTAAAAGCCTTGTAGCTTGGAAGTCCAAATCAGAAGTATACCAAATGCTCTAGGAAATTGTTTATCTTGGCAATGTTTTATTTAATGTGTCAGTGGTGTTATAAGAATTTCCTTTAGGTCAGTTGTGATGGTTACTTTGCATATAAATATTTTTAAAAGATTTTATTTATTTATTTGAGAGCTAGAGTTACAGAAATGGAGAGACAGAGAGAAATGTCTTCCATCCACTGGTTCACTCCACACATGGCCTTAATAACTGGAGCTGGGCTGATCCAAAGCCAGGAGCCAATAGCTGCTTCTGGGTCTCCCACGCTGGTACAAGGGCCCAAGAACTTGGGCCATCTTTCATTACTTTCCCAGTCCATTAGCAGAGAACTGGATCAGAAGAGGAGCAGTGGGTACATGAACTGGCACCCATATGGGATGCTGGCACTGGAGGCAGAGGCTTAGCCTACCATGCCACAGCACTGGCCCTGCATATATTTTCTATAATTCCAACAGTAACTCTATACAATAAGTATATTATTTCCATTTTGCATATGAAGTCCCTGAGGTTCAGAAGAGCTAAATAATTTGCACAAAAATATAGAAATCTTATATAGTCTGTTACAGAAAAAAATTCAAACTGAAGTGTAGGAAAACATCCAAACTGATTTTTGTTTGCTAAATTTTAAATTAATTTATGAAAAAGGGTTATTAGCTGATATTTACTTTTTTATTAATTTGTAACTTCTTATGACAAACATGACACAGAAACTATCACTTAATTGATCACTGAATGAGGGCTGAAAGAAAGTGGCATATCAAGGTAAGCCACTGCCACAATGCCAGCATCCCTTATGAGCACCTGTTCAGGAAGATCTCTGTCTCTGAGGGTCTCTCCTTCCCTCTAACTTTGCCTTTCATGAATAAATAAAATTTTTTCAACACCAACAAAAAAGAAAGTGATGTAAAGGGTCCTTAGCCATTCTTATTTAGGTAAGCAATTTATTAAAATGTCTTATTCTTTTATTTTGCACCTAAATATGTTCTCCCATGAGGTATTGATGCAGCACAGGAAAGCATTTGGATAGGGACTTTATGCTACTCTTTCAAATTCAGTGACCACTTTTCATTGAGATCCATGTACCTTTGATGGTTGAAAATTAAGTGTGCTATTGATAGCATCTTAAGACAACTACTTTGACTAGTGAGATGGCATTGGTATATGCCACCTTGATGGGATTAAATTGGAATCCCCTGGCACGTTTCTAACTCTACCATTTGGGACAAGTCTAATTGAGCATGTCCCAAACTGTACATCTCCTCCCTCTCTTATTCCCACTCTTATATTTAACAAGGATCACTTTTCAGTTAAATTCAAACACCTAAGAATAATTGTCAATTAAAGAGAGAACGATCCAACATAGGAAGCGGGATACACAGCAGACTCATAGAATGGCAGATGTCCTAAACAGCACTCTGGCCTCAGAATCATCCCTTAAGGCATTTGCCCATGAGAGTAATTTAGGCATGGAAAGCCAAGACACTGTGGAAAAAAAAAAAAAAAAAAACAACTAAATAAAAGATCTCTGCAAGTGAGATCCCAGTGGAAAGAACGGGACCATCAAAGGAGGAGGTACCTTTGTCTGAAGGGAGGAGAGAACTTCCACTTTGACTATGACCCTGTCTGAATTAGATCGAAGTTGGCGAACTCAAAACTTCCATAGCCTTAGCAGCTCATGACAGGAGCCTAGCGTGATTACTAACGTCATAAACAAGAGTGTCAATTGTTAAGTCAACAACAGGTGTCACTGTGCACTTACTCACCATGTAGGATCTCTGTCCTAAATGTGAATTAATGCTATAATTAGTACTCAAACAGTACTTTATACTTTGTGTTTCTGTGTGGGTGCAAACTGTTGAAATCTTTACTTAATATATACTAAATTGATCTTCTGTATATAGAGCTAATTGAAAATGAATCTTGATGTGAATGGGATGGGAGAGGGAGCGGGAGATGGGAGGGTTGTGGGTAGGAGGGAAGTTATGGGGGGGGGAAGCCACTGTAATCCAAAAGTTGTACTTTGGAAATTTATATTTATTAAATAAAAGTTAAAAGGAAAAGATAATTACAAGTAGACTGTGATTGGAGTTCAATAGTTTATGGTTAATTTTTTCATAACATCAAATAAATAGTATTTTCTCACAAACTGTAGTGCAGAGTAGCTTCTTTAACTTCTTTCCCCATTTCTACTTAATGCTACACTTAATCTCTTTCTTTAATTGAGATACAATCATCTACCATAAATTTACCCTGTGAAAGTTATAATGCACTGGGTGTTAGAATCTCTATAGCATTGGTCCCTATCACTACTAATTCCTGAATATTTTCATTAACACAAAGGAAAGCCTGTCCCTACTCATGTCTCTCCCCATGTATTACCAAACACTAATAATTTTCTCTCTCTCTAGATTTGCCTGTTCTGGATATATAATACAGATGGAATCATAGAATATTTGGCCTTTTGTGTATAGCTTCTTTCACTGAGTACAGTGTTTTCATTGTACATCCATATTATAGCACATTTCAGTTCTTCATGCCTTCTTATACCTGGGTAGTCTTCCGTTATATGGCTATATCACATTTGTTTATCTGTTTCTCGTTCAATGAACATTTATGGTTTTTTTCTGCCTTTGACTATCCTTAATAACACTACAGTGATCATTCTGTGCAAGTTTTTGTACCTACACACATTATTTATCTTGGGTAGAAGGTTTAAGTTTTTTTCTCTTCCATATTTCATTTTTTTTCCCCAGATTCATGAATGCCCAGAGTAACTAGAACTCTCCAGATCCCTGTGAGAGATGAACGGATGCTGGCGCCTTCATCACTCTAACTCTGAACTCTGCCTGTCTTTTCTCAGAGCCACCCATCGGACAGATGCACCCCCCACACGGCAGTGTCACCCCACAGAAGAACAGCAACCTGCTTGTGATCATCGTGGTCACTGTCGGTGTCATCACGGTGCTGGTCGTGGTGATTGTGGCCGTGATTTGCACTCGGCGCTCTTCAGCTCAGCAGAGAAAGTAGGTAGCAACTGGCTCCCAGGAGCAAAGAAGGCATTGTCCTCTGGGGTTAGGCTTTGACACTCTCCTCTTGTGCTGTTTCATGATTCACCCTGGGTTCTTTGTCTCCTGACACTGGAAAACCTTGCCTTTTGTCCTTTCCAGCCTATATCTCATTGAGGAAGAGCTAGTCTTGCAGATTTACAGCAGAATCCAGGGAGACCACTTCCATTTCTGTTGGTTTTTATTGTCAGGGACAGATTCTTCCTTTTAAGAGAGGGCGGGTACTCCTTGAGTAACACCCGAAAGTAAACTCCACCAAGTTTCCTTCTATGGTTCTCTGCACTCACAGGCACACCAGTGGCAGTGTGCATTCCCCTACAAGGACTTATCACTTTTGACAAGGAGGCCTGTAGGCAATTCATTGAAACTTGTTGAATGAATGACTGAATATAGACTATGAAACTCTATTGTTCCAATTCCATGAGGTCTAAACTTTAGAAGAAGTCAAGACAGGAAATTCCAGAGATTGAAATTTGCTCACATTTCATGGATAAGACTCATTGTCAGAAATTAGAAGTGTTGAGAAGTCTATAAGTATCTTTATAATATGCTATCCTAGGTTTTAACACATGCAGAAATTGACGCACCGAAGTTCAAAAAGGAAATATGCTTTCAATGTAGCTTATTCTCTCTGAGCAACACCCAGTACCCAGGTTATTAGTCTTGTGCCAGTCAGTTCTAGAAGTCAACAAATCTCTTGGCCATTCTATACCTCTGCCTCTCCAGCCCTTGTCAAATCCAGCCTGCTATGAATTTTTCAGCTACATTCTCTCGCTTAGTTGACTGTAATAAGCTCTTCCTTTGAAATTTGTTTTGTTTTGTTATTTTTGGCCCCAAGCATGGTGTTTGCCATTTCTGAAAGCCTGAGGCGTTGGCCCACAGGTGGCTGGTTGGATGACTATATGAGTACATATTATATTTTGGTATATAAAAATTCTCTAGCAAATCATTTTCCCTGCTCTCTTGGTAGTGGCTCAGATTTTTTCCCTCTCTTTTCAAAAATCTTATAACTATGCTTATTGCCAGCATATTTCCAGCACTCTGATGTGAAACATTCAAAAACAGAATAGGGAAAGGTACAATTACTGAAAAAGGGGACAGAGAACCATAGATAGACTTTGTATTTAATTTATTTATACAGCAGAACAAGTTATATATTGAGCACTTGTAAGATTGAAATATTTTGAAATTTACAATACTGCTGTGCTGGTCTGTTGTGCGGAAACCAGCAACCTGATAAGAATGAATTTCATTCATTACCCATTACCTCATGGGTAAGCTTTATGGGAAGTCATTATCACTTGTAGATCTTCTTGTATGTTGAGCATTTAATAAGGCTCTGAGAAAAAAAAAAATTTAACTCATTGAGTAAGGCATCAAGTAGTCTCGTCATCCAGCATTTCAAGAGGAGAAATTGTGCAAAAATGCAAGATAGACATCAAAGCAGCAGACCTGTGGAGAGCTCTGAGAAGGAAGTGGGCAGGAGGCCTCAGAACCATACTTGGTCTACTTTGTAAAACATGGATAGAGTCTCTGAATTAACTTTATTCAACTATCTAATCCATACCAGGCTTCTTTTTTTTATTTTTGGTGTTTTTCTCCTATTGTCATTACTATGAGAATGTTTTAAGGGTTGTGTTGTCCTAATGAATTGGGTTCCTGGACTCTTTTGTTTCTCCCTAGAGAAAATTCAAGTCTTCTCAGTGTGCAAAAGTAGAATTTGAAACCATGTTGAGAAACTCACAAACTGTGTTAAAATAAATTCATAGTATGCATTTCTAGGTTCATCCTATACATTTTGGTATAAGTTTATGGTTTTACTTGGAAAGAGCTCATATTGAACTCTGAATATGAATTATATTTTATTTTTAAGAACTTTTTAAGACAGCAAGAGCAGCTGTTGACTGGTTCACTCCTCAATGCCCACAATAGCCTAGGAGATGTGGACTCAGTCCAAGTCTCCACATCAGTGTAGGGACCCACCTACTTGAGCCATCACCTGCTACCTCCCAAGGTGCACTTTAACAGGGAGCTGGAATTGGGAGCAGAGTCAAGATTCGAACCCATTCTCTCCATAGTTGTGGACATTGCAAGCTGTGTGCTAACCACTGGGCCAAATGCCTGCCTTGACTTGTTTTTAAAATTAGAGAAAGAATAAAAGAATAAGTGATTCTGTGAGTGATAGAAAAAAAACAAACAAAAGTGAATTTACAGCTCACTTTAGTTTTTCTTCAGCCATCCCCAAAGTGATATTTGCGTGGTGTATTTTCATACTTTGTGCCGTGTATCTTTCTTCAGTCACAGACTCACTGGTATTCATTTTGTTTGCAGATGGTAGCAGAGAGGAAGACAAAAAAATGCTTCAAGTTATTTCTGAGTTTTAATTTAGGTTCTCTTGATTTTGTTGAGGGCTCCTCTTCCCATAACACTGGTACCATTGAGCCTGTTAAAGCAAACTGTGTAATGCAGATGAAAGCAAAATCATTTCCAATCTGAAACAAAACCAAGGGCCTTTACGGGGCTTTCAGACAATGGGAATTTAATATAATTAATAGAGTGAAGTAGGACCCATATTTCTGGGCTTCTCCATTATCTCTTTGGTGGAGACTGCTGGAGAATGTAAATTTTTATTTGCATTTTGATGATATTCCATTTTTATGGACTATCCATAATAGATTATTTAAATTCGTTTCTCCATATTTTATTCTGTCATGTTTTTAACATTTACACAAACACACAAAGTCACACATGAGGGTACTTCAAAGTATTAATGGGAAGTTGAATTTTAAAAAGGAATATTAATGTGAAATAAAAGTAATTGTGCCTATCTTTTTAGTTGTTTTTAATTGAAATAGTTTTGTGGCTTTGAAGAGACTCCTCTTACACATTTTCAGCTAGTGTTATTATTTAGTAGAATATCATAAATAGTAAGATATCATAATCATAAGCAAAATTACATTTTCTGAAGACTTAAGCTGATGAGCCTTTGTCCATGCTTTTTAGTAAAGTAGTAATATTTTCCTATCCAACATATGGATCATAAGTTTTGATAAGTTAACATCTTTCTAAATACACTAAAGACAAAATATTTGACATTGAACATGTCTTGGAAATCTAAACTACAAATTATTCTATTTGTAAAGCATTACTTAGGTAAATGATCAACCCTCTGTCTGAATATATCAAGTTTAAACATGGAAATAAAATACAGGGTTCACTTGATAGAATCTGCTTGACTGAAACTTCTATTTGATTTGACATGTGCACAGCAAGTTTCAAAGATCAGCACACATTCACATCTTGACAAAAATAATTATTTACAATACTGAAGATCAAATGTTTAAACACTAACATGCAATCTGCTGTATTTTAACTAGTATAGGTCACTCTCACTGATTTTCTGCTTAACATTTTAATTGTTTTTCTTTATTCACACAAGAGAAATTTTAACTGGCAACTCCTTAGGACTTCTATACACATTAATTCCATTTCGTAAAATACAGGTATATATAAGTACCTAGAATTGCCCTGGATTTCCAATGTAAATTTTTGTTTTTGTTTTGAATAGCAGTTAGTAGAATGAAAATAATAAATATAGAGAAATAAGAGGATAGAAGCCTTTGAGGAGGATTTTGATGGAGAACGAGAAGCAAATATTTATTCTTCTCAATACATGTTTTCCTGATGAATTTGTAATCATTTCTTCACATTAACTTCAAGCGTCCTTCTCTCCTGAAACCTTCCTTAAACAACTGGGGAGGCTGTGTTCCTGCCCCCAAACTCCATCAGATCTTGGGCACCTCATCTAATTTGTAGAGTTAGGGACAAGGCTGTTTATTTGTCTACCTCCAGTGAATAATTTGAGCAAATATGCCCACACACATTGAGAATTTAATAATTTATTACATTGTGGCAAAGGATCAATGAGCTGATAGTGATATTTTATTACTTTAGCATCATCTTAAATAAAATGGATTCTCAATCAATGTTGTTTCTTATCCAAATCTCTACCAAAGTGATGAAAATTGAAAAGGAAAGAGGCTCTCCTTAGAATAATAGGTTATGTGCAAAGTAAAAAATAGGTAGACCAAACAAAAACCAGGAGAAAATATTCAAAACTATTTCCAAGTCAATAATAGAAAATTCTTATTATTCAATTACAGTAATCATTGAGTGCTTAGTATGTGTTCTGCAAAGTAACAAATCTGATTAATGTTATGTCTTTAGCTAAAAAATGTTATACATTAGTTCAAATGTTTCTATTGGAAGCAAATGTTTCTGTTGGAATCCATGATGTGGTCCCTTTACTTGGCAGCCTTCCTACCTATCAAGTTCTAGTGCATACTCCTTCCTCCAGCAGTGCAAAAGTTCCCAGGAGCCATGCCACTATTCATTCATTTATCAAGCTCCCAATGTCTCACCCATCTCTGCACTGGTAGTAATTGCCCCAGCATTACTGCAAGAACTGAGTTATCATAGAGGGAGCACCTGGCCAACTCAATAAGACAGGTTAATCAAAGCCAAGGCAAGTGATATAGAAATGAAGGAAATGAGGTAGATATCCGGGTCACCGTGACCTAGAGTGGTCAGGAAGGGGAGACACTTGAAAGGGACCTTAAAGAATAAGTAGTTTGTAAGTAAAACCAATTGTGAAGGCATGCTGAGTAGAAGTTAAACAAAACAAAAAGAAATAAAGAAAAAACTAACAACACTGCTATTTGATCTTACTGTGAAAGTTTTTTTTATGATATAAGAAAAATGCAGAGTCTTGGAGGATCCTTTGTTTACCTTTATTCAAGAATATGGCATAGGAAGAGACCTTCACATTCTAAGGCTATTTTTGATAACAGAACCTATGAGGAAAAAATGTATTTTATATTTGGGGAGGATTTAAGCATCTGAATTTTATATCTGTTAGAAAGCTGGCTTTAGGGCCGGCGCTGCGGCTCACTAGGCTAATCCTCTGCCTTGTGGCGCTGGCACACTGAGTTCTAGTCCCGGTTGGGGCGCCGGATTCTGTCCCGGTTGCCCCTCTTCCAGGCCAGCTCTCTGCTGTGGCCAGGGAGTGCAGTGGAGGATGGCCCAAGTGCTTGGACCCTGCACCCCATGGGAGACCAGGAGAAGCACCTGGCTCCTGGCTTCGGATCAGCGTGGTGCGCTGGCTGCGGTGCGCCGGCCGCGGTGCGCCGGCCGCAGTGCTCTGGCCGCGGTGGCCATTGGAGGGTGAACCAGCGGCAAAGGAAGACCTTTCTCTCTGTCTCTCTCTCTCTCACTGTCCATTCTGCCTGTCAAAAAAATAAAATAAAATAAAATAAAATAAAAACTAGCTTTAAAATAAAAACAAATGAAATAATGCGCTAAGACACTGATACTAAAACTGGGTACATCAGATTCACATGGGGGCTGATAAAATACTAACTGTTGTCCTGGCTCACGTTCCTGTTTCATATCAGTAATTCTGTGATGTGGCCTGGGAATGTGCATTTGTAGCAAGTTTCCAGATGATGTGGATGCCCCTGATCCAGGGTCTACACTTTAGCAATGAAGGCACCGGGAATATCTGCATAAACATTTTGAGCATTCCAACAGTGAGACAGAGGAAATGTGGCCTGCAATCAAGAGCAGACATATGTCAGGGAACCAACAGATGGAGGAAGGTCAATGTGACAACTCTTTCTATAGATTTAGAGACAAAGTTCAGACAATTTAGTGATGAGCACATGTTCATTTTAATACAAAACTGCTGCAATGGGGCTAGGGGATGGGTGGACTGGAGGATGAGTCTCTGCAAGATCAAAGGTTTCTCTCTTGAAAAGAATAATTACAGTAGGGGCCAGCACTGTAGCATAGCAGGTAAAACTGACACCTGCAGTTTTGGCATCCCATATGGGCGCTGGTTCATGTCTCCATTGCTCCACTTCTGATCCAGCTCTCTGTTATGGCCTGGGAAAGCAGTAGGAGATGGCGCTAGTCTTTGGGCCCCTGTATCCATGTGGGAGACCTGGAAGAAGCTCCTGGCTCCTGGCTGCAGATGGGCCCAGCCCCAGCAGTTGTGGCCATTTGGGGAGTGAACCAGTGGATAGAAGTCCTCTGTCTCTTTCTCTCTGCCTCTGCCTCTGCCTCTCTGTAACTCTTTCAAATAAACTTAAAAAAATCTTTCAAAAAAAAGAATTATAGTAAAGTGAAGTGATTATATGGTCACTAGTAGATTAGGCACAAAATGAAATTTTTAGAGATCTTTATATTCCTGGCTGCTAGCTGGGTGGGTGAGCTGCTTTTTGTAATACATCTTGATCAGCTTAAAATCCATCAGCACTGATATTTGATTTCCAGTTAGTGGCTATGAATCACAGTGCACAAAATGGTTCTGCTTTAGCCCAGGTTTGAAACTTTTTTATTTAAAAAAAGTGGGCGTGTGTGACACTGAAGTCCTGTGGACTAGCAAATGAATCAAAGCATGAATAAAGCATGCCTGTAAGCAATGGGAAACCAGAATTCATAATTTATTACCTATTTAAATTTTTACTTTTTTTTTACTAATTTCTTATCACAAGCTACTTAAATATTAAATCATGAGATATCTAGTGTTATTGGATTTGATAACTAGTACTCTCTATGCAATAACATGGATGCTAGGTTAAGAAATTTAGCATTTTAGTCTGGTAGAAAGAGAGATAACAAGGTAGAGTGTCCAAGTTTGATAATGCCATTGAATTATTCTCTGAAGGTACCAAGGGTACATACAGACTTATATGTACTACATATGAGAGCTAAAGTGTGAGTTGCAAATCAGTTTCCTGCTGGCAGGCAAAGTAAGGAAATGAATTCAGGGAATAGATGGTTAGCCGTGAGTTATTATCTTAGACACAGGAAAATGATCAAGGAGTTATTTTAGATCATTGTCTAGAGGCAGCACGGGGCTGCTGCCAGGAATTCAGCAACATGTAGGTAACTGGGAAAACATTAGAGCAGAAAACATGCATTATTTCTCTACTAAACTATAAAATAAATTTTATTCCTGAAGTTCTTTGTCTCTCATCCTCATCAGTACACTTCAAGAAAGATAAAAAAAAAAAAATGTTTGGGAGAACTCAACAGATCACACCACCAAACATTTATTAGCTACTTAACACATTCAGATTTGGAAAGTTTCTTATTCAGCAATTGGGAAACTAAACCCCTTCCCAGTGGCTTTGCACAAAATAAAGTGTTTTCACAAGGAGTATGAACCATTTAACAGTCATGCAAAGCAGTGAAAATAGACTTTTCATTGCAAATTACAGAGGTCAAATGGGATGCTTCTCTGTCAAAACTAGATTTTAACAATTTACATCCTGTTCTATAAGAGACATTATTAAAGAAATAGATATTATAAGTGGAGATTTCAAAATTATAAAATTGTAGAACAGGGTTCAAAAACCATTTTTGAAACAGACCTAACAATAAAAGTATTTTAGGATTTTCAAGACATAGGGTCTCTCTCTCAACTGCTCCAATAAAACTTTATTCAAAAAAAAAAAAAAAAAAAAAAAACTGTGGGCAGATTTGGTCTGTATACCATAGTTCACTGACTCCCTGCTGGAGAGAAAGGCTAGCATGAGCCTAAAGCTATTTCACTGTGCATGCTAGGAACATTTGAATCCTGCTAGCCCCAAGAAGAGATTATCACAGAAAAAAAAATATGGTTTTTGAATCCTTATTGAAGTCAGAGACATTTGAAGCACATTTCCAAACCGTGGTTTTCCCTTTTCAAAGGATGAGTCTCATTGTGCTTGAATCCAGACACTTAGTAAGTCCCAGGCAAAAGTGCTTTATTCTCAGAAGAATGTCCTCAAGTTGCCTTTTGTTTTCAAACAGCAAGCTTCCCAATTGCACGTTAAATTATGCAGCTGAGGTATAGACTTTCTTCTAAGCCACAGTCTTAGCTGTTGGCACAAGTGCTGGCCTTTTTATTCCTATTTGCCCTTTTGAAGCAACTCCTTCATTTATCTCCTAAACAGATGTTGCAGTCAGCTACCTTCTGCCTGCCTCCAAAGATTGGCATATGGCTCCACGTAACCTACTGTCACCTTGCGTGGGAATCTGCAGCAGATGAGGCTGAGTCGGGAGCACTCTGGCAGGCAGCCGAGGCCCGCTGGGATTCAGCACCACATCTCCTGTAATGTGGTGAAGCTCCAGGGCAGCAAAGGAAAGGCAGCCAAGACAAGTCTGCCAATTCCTGGTTTCACACGGGCCCTCCTGGGAATCCTTTTGTTTCCTTACCAGCTTTGAACTTGAATTGACAGAAAAACAAGAAACAGCCAGTGTGAGGAGACTCTCACATTTGCCTTCTAACTCTGTTCCCTAGGAAACGGGCCACCCACAGTGTTGGCAAAAGGAAAGGCAGCCAGAAGGAGCTCCGACCTCCTGATCTTTGGATCCATCATGAAGAAATGGAGATGAAAAACATGGAGAAGCCCTCAGGCACTGACCCTGCGGGAAGAGATTCCCCCTCCCAAAGTTGCCAAGACCTCACACCAGTCAGCCACAGCCAGTCAGAAACCCAACTGGGGAGCAAAAGCACCTCTCATTCAGGTAATTGTCTTCTCCTGGTATCAGGGAAAACAGACCTTTCTGAATCCCGTAGGGAACTGATCAGTCCTTCTCTTGGGTAGGTGTTCCCCTACTAATTTGCATGACATCCGGATCATTTTCCAGTGGTTAGAATAAGCTGATACAAATTCGGTTGGCAACCGAATATGGCTATCTTCTCCATCACCTGGTGCCTGTCTTTTATAAATTTAATAATTCTTGAAATTTTTAAGAGATTAGAGGTAGTACTTGTCCAGTGGACAATTATTGAAATGTGAAGACTAAATGGATTGGCTGCTTTTTGTTGAGTTACAAACAAAATTTCCATCAAGGCAATAAAATTCTAAACTACTTTTTTTCAGTTCCTTATTTCTATGGTTAATTAGAAGTCAATTCTAAATGTGCTGTCAACTCCTTGTTTTAAAAAAAACAGATTGGAAACACTCAATGTATGAAAAAAATCAAATATTGTTCACTTTGGCCTTGATTATCATGGAACTCACGTGTCATTTCCAAATAATCATATTATGTGATCATTAACCTAGACTGATAGCGTGTGTGTGAAAACTGTGTTGCTAAGGAAGGAGATCTGAAGAAAAAAGACTACTAATCAGTGAATTGGTGCAAAATAATATATAATCACTGTTGTACAAGAATAACCAAGGATGTTATGAAGTACTTATACGGTGTTTCACTTTTGGAGAATCCTCATATTATCCAAGTGCCTGTGGGAAGTAGAAGAGGTAGCCAAATACTCTCATTAAAAAAATCCCTGGGTCTACTCATGATGTGGTTATTAAATGCATAGCTACTGGTTGAAACTCAAGTGGAATATTTTAGTTATCAGTATAATTGGTTTATTGGACTTCGTCAGCCAAGAACTGCATAAACAAGGACTTCAATTCTTGGTTGTCGACTATGGGTTGCTCTCTAGGCCTTAAATGATCTCAATAAGATTCCCTAACTTTCCTGTCACTTTTGATTGTTAATGGGAAGTCTAATGCTATTGAAGTCTTTAACATGAAATTTAAAATAAATTCTCCTTCTTCATCACCAAGTAGATTCTGGATACTATGGTTGCAATTTGTTCTTTAAATCCTGCCATGGTTTGGAGTGTTTGGTTAGCACAGAAGGTAGGGCAGTCTATCTTCCCCCCACATCCACCATCTTCCTGGGTATGTGAGAGAAAAGGAATGCCTGATAGGGTGGGGACAGAGATAGGAAAGGATGTCTGAAGTTCTTCATTGCCTTTATGGACACATGGACTAGCCCCTTGGTGGCATCCATTGAAACTCAAGTGTGAATTCTTCATGACACTCTGTTACCCCACTGCCCAATCCTGTGATGTGAGACATCCAGTCAGGTCTTCACATGATCCATCAATCACAGCTCTTCCTGTCAGCCTTGTAGGTCTTCTGGTGGGTCACTCTGTACTTGGGCGAGTCACAGCAGGGGTATTCGAGCCCACAAGAAGACTCTCTCCTTTACAGGCCCTGTCCTGAGAACTTGAACTCCACCACTGACCTTCTCTCAGCCCTGCTCTCATCAATTACCTTTCCCTACATTCAGAGAGACACAGAATAGCCCAGTGAGCCTGCTGCCTGAGCATTTATTCCCATCTGTGGAATGAATGAATGGAATGCAAATTTCTTTTACAGGAAGTCACCCTACTTTAGATGTTGTTTCTTTTTCAACCTTGTTCTTGAATGAACACCACTGGGGGCTATGGAATTGACTCCCTGTCCTCAGAAGGTTTTGCTAATAACTTGGTTAGCACTACCTCTTGTTCTTTTCCTTTCAGCTCTTACTCACTGCAACAATATGTGGGGGGAAGTCAGACAAGTTTGGAAATCTCTTAACAAGTCCTAGGAGGGATTTAACCTCAAAAGATGGCTGTTTTCTTTAGAAGAAGTATGTATGTCAATTTGTCACCAGTTTGAGGACCTGTTGATCAATTTTTCAATGACAAGGAAAGTAGCCTTCAAATCTCCTGCAAGTTATATCTTACATTGAGTGCCTCAAGGCCACCATTGTGTAGTAATGTGTTAAGCTGCCACCTCTAACACTGGCATCCCATTTGGGCCCAGGTTTGAGACCTGGCTGCTCCGCTTTTGATACAACTCCGTACTAATGCACCTGGGAAAGCAGCAGAAAATGGCTCAAGTGTTTAGGTCCCTGCACACCTGTGGGGGACCTGGAAGAAGATCCAGGCTCCTGGCTTCGGCCTTGGCCAGCCCTGGTCTTTGGAGCCATTTAGGAAGTGAACCAGCAGTTGGAAGGGTTGGTCTCTCTCTCTCTCTCTCTCTCTCTCTTTAGCTCAAATAAAGGAAAGTGTTCTCTGCCATATTCTTGTTAAAGGAACAAAAATTGAGGCAGACATTTGACTAGTGGTTAATGCCAGTTGGGATACCTGCATTCCATATCAAAGTATCTAGGTTCAAAGTCCACCACTAGCTCCTAATTTCAAGGTTGCTGCTGGTATGAACCCTGGGAGACAGCTGGTGATGGCTCAAGCCTTTGGGTTCCTGCTACTCATGTGAGAAACCTGGGCAGACTTCATGGCTCATTTCAGTCCCAGCAGGGGCTGTTGTGGGTATTTGGAGTGTGAACCAGGACACAAGAGCTAGTTCTCATGCTTTCTCTTTCTACAGCTATCGCTCTCAAATAAATTTAAAAATTTAAAAACAGGAACAAAACTCAGCACAACTGAATAGCATATCAAGAACCATTATATTTACAATGGGGTTTCTATTAGGCAACAACAATATAAGGAAAGATCACTCAGTGTTAACGTCTGTTATTGGTACTTCCATACATTATCTTAGTTAATCCTCACAAAACACTTTAAGATAGGTGCTTACATTCTCTTCATATAATAAGTAAAACAAAAACAAAAAAACCTGAAATTAAAACACTTTAAGGAACATGCCTAAGGTTTCAGAGGTGGTAGAAGCCAGCCAGGAGTGAAAATCTGACTCTAAAATCCATGTCTTATTGATCCAAGTTCAATTAACTTATGCAATGCTTTTATACCACAGCTTATCCTTTTTCTGCACATGAGATTAGCTCTTTGAATAGACTAGAAATGATTTTGCAACATTCAGATTTTAGCTATAGAAAAGAGAATTGAATTAATAGTTAACAAAAATATTTTTCAGCAAATAAAAGTTACTTCTACCCATTCCTTCTTATTCTTAGTATCCAAGGTGCTTAAACAGAACCTACCTTATTCTCTAAGCACAGAAATAGAGCACCTTACTAAAATATCTAAGAACTAAGGTAAGGATAGTCCTCTTAATACTCGTCTCTTCCAAACCCACTGGGTTTCAAAATTATTTTCTTTGCTTAAAAACTTACAATAGAGGAAGGCAAAATTCCTGAACTATTTGATCTCTATGACTTAAAGTTTAATTCCTTGAAGTGAATTTGCTACCATCAAATTTTGCTGCAGTAAAACCAAGAGTTGATTTCTTATTTTCATTTCTGTAGTGTGGATAAGTAAATTTTATCACGGTAACATTTGGAGATATCCATTTTTAAAAAGAATTCAATTTAGTGAATAACATCTTTAAAAGTACTACACAACACAGAACAGCCAGCTTGATTGAATAATTACATTCCTTAATCATTGTTTTGACTTATTTATAAGCTTACTGAACATGTTCACATGTTTTGATCAAGGGTGAATCATGTCAGGTAATGTTCTTAAGAAATAAATCAGGAAGGGTCACTTCCAAAAAACTTGTGCTTCCAAAATAGTAACAGAAAAACAGTTTGGTTCAAGTATTTAATGAACGCATGTAATACCAAGCATATTTAATGCCGTGAATAAAAAGTAACTGCAGACACTATTCTTGTTTATATGATCCCTATGGTTCTTAGTCCTATCATTATGATCAATTGTGAACAGAAATTGATCACTGGGACTAGTGAGATGGCATTGGTACATGCCACCTTGATGGGATTGAATTGGAATCCCCTGGTATGTTTCTAACTCTACCGTTTGAGGTAACTCAGCTTGAGCATGTCCCGAATTGCACATCTCTTCCCTCTCTTATTCCCACTCTTATATTTAACAGTGATTGCTTTTCAGTTAAGTTTCAGCACTTAAGAAGAATTGTGCATTGATTACAGTATTCAACCAAAAGTATTAAGTAGAACAAACAAAAAAAATGATAAGAGGGATAACATATCAAGTTGCTCATCAACAGTCAAGGTGAGGGCTGATCAAGTCACTGTTTCTCATAGTGTTCATTTCACTTTAACAGGTTTCCTTTTTGGTGCTCAGTTAGTTGTCACCTATCAGGGAGAACAAGTGGTATTTGTCCCTTTGGGATTGGCTTATTTCACTCTGCATAATGTTTTCCAAATTCCTAACAGGGATCACTTTTCAGTTAAAATTTAAACACCTAAGAATAATTGTGTGTTAATCACAGAGTTCAACCAATGGTACTAGAACAAAAAAAAATACTAAAATGGATAAAGTATTACATTGTACATCAACCGTCAGGACAAGAGCTGATCAAGTCACTGTTTCTCATAGTGTCCATTTCATTTCAACAAGTTTCCCCTTTGGTGCTCAGTTAGTTGTCGCCAATCGGGGAGAACATATGATATTTGTCCCTTTAGGACTGGCTTAATTCACTCAGCATGATGTTTTCCAAATTCCTCCATCTTGTTGCAAATCACCGGGTTTCCTTCTAGCTGATAGAATAAAAAAGGGAGAGAATGATCCAACATGGGAAATGAGATACACAGCAGACCCATAGAATGGCAGATGTCCTAAACAGCACTCTGGCCTCAGAATCAGACCTTAAGGCATGTGGATCTGGCTGAAAAGCCCATGAGAGTATTTCAGGCATGGAAAGCCAAGACACTCTGGGGGAAAAAAAAAAAAAAAAAAAAAAAAAAACCTAAATGAAAGATCTCCACGAGTGAGATCTCAATGGAAAGAACGGGTCATCAAAGAAGGAGGTACCTTTCTCTGAAGGGAGGAGAGAACTTCCACTTTGACCATGTCCTTGTCTAAAAATGATCAGAGTCAGTGAACTCAGGGGGCTTCCATAGCCTTGGCAACTCATGACAAGAGCCTAGGTTGATTACTGATGCCATAAACAAGGGTGTCAATTTGTTAAGTCAACAACAGGAGTCACTGTGCACTTTCTCCTCATGTAGGATCTTTGTCCTTAGTGTGCTGTACATTGAGATTTAATGCTATAACTAGTACTCAAACAGTATTTTTCACTTTATGTTTCTGTGTGGGAGCAAACTGTTGAAATCTTTACTTAATGTATGCTAAACTGATCTTCTGTATATAAAGAGAAACGAAAATGAATCTTGATGTGAATGGAAGGGGAGAGGGAGTGAGAAAGGGGAGGGTTGCGGGTTGGAGGGACGTTATGGGGGGAAGCCATTGTAATTCATAAGCTGTACTTTGGAAATTTATATTCATTAAATAAAAGTTTAAAAAAATTAAAAAAAAATAAAAATAAAAATAAAAAAGTAACTGCAAAATTAAAAACACATACATCCAGATACTCAAAAACATCACAAAGCTTATTAGATAACCATGTTCCCATAGTTGCATGTAAAATTATGTTTTCTTTGTTTTGGAGAGAGATACATGAGAGTGTTCCATGTTTTACTACCATTGTCCAACATAATATTGAAAATTTAAGAGGAGGAAAGTTTACTGTATCTAATTGACTTTTTGTCTTGTTCTGTTTATTCTTCATTCCTTTTATTTCTTCCTGCCTCTTTAGAGAAATGCCATTAATCATTCTTTGAAGGCTAAACTACTGAAGAATTTTTCTTTTTTTTTTTTTCCTTCATGGGGAAATAACTTGATTTCACCTTCATTCTTTGTAGTATATTTTTGTAGCTATTGTCAATCTAATTCTGGGTTGACATTTCTCTTTCAACATCTGAAAAAATGTATCCCTTTTGTCTGGCCTCTGTGATTCCTGAGGAGACATTCATTGCTATTCGAACTGTTTTATCACTATAAACAAGTTGTTTTCTTCTCACTACTTTTATGATTTGTTGTCGTCTTTAGTTTTCAGAAGTTTACCTATGATGTGTCTGGCATGGATTTGTTTGGAACTTACTGAATTTTTTAAACCTATAGATGTATTTATGTCTTGCCAAATTGTAGGAATTTTCATCCCATATAAAATATTTTTCATCCACAAACTCTTTTTCCTCTATTATTAACTTTCAATATTAAGTTTTCTAAGAGACTCTTTTCTTTTCTTGTTCTTTCCTAGAACTTATACTTCTCTGATACTGCCACTTTAATCCTATACAGGTTAAATGTTCTGATCTAGGAAACATTTTGACTATTTTTGCAATTGAAATGTACTTTCTCCTTCCATGGAGGATTTTAGGTCCATCTTGGAATCTCTATTTCCCCCTTCTCTCATCTGTGCAGTACTTCCAGATATGCGGCTGTCTGCAATACTTTGTGGCAATAGCTTGAGTAATAGCTTTGTTATAATGTCTTCTTTATTTTTGCGCTTAGAGAAAACTTGAAGTTTGTCCTATGTTCTGTTTTTTGGTTATGCTGAAGGTGTATGATTTTAACATTTTGTCTTTTATGGTTCTATGCAGTTTGTGGAGGATATGTGCTTACATCCACATTTAGGCAACTAACATTATCTTGCCTATTTGGAAATTTCTCCTAGCATTATACTTTAATTCAAAAATAAAACAAGAAAAAAGTATAAAAAGTTATGAAAACTCATACCCAAAATATTAAAGGTATTATTGTCATTTCCCCATTCCAAATTCCTAATCCCTTTCACTAAAGGTAAACAGTTTGGGCGGTCAGCTGCCACTTGTGACAACAACCACCCAAATGGAGGTGCCAGTTGGAATCCTAGCCTCCCCACTTCCCATGTAGTTTCCTGCTAATGCCCCTAGGAAAATAGTAGAAGATAGACAGAACACTCCATCACCTTCCACCTACACAGGAGACAGGCTGCAGTTCTTGGCTCCTGGCTTTAACCTGGCCCAATCCTGGTTGTTGCAGCCATTTGGAGAATAAACCAGTGTATGGAAGACCTCTGTTTCTTCCTCTTTCTCTCTGTTGCTCTTTCAAATAATAAATAAAAGAATAAATCTTTTCAAAATAGGAGGAAACATTGATAATAATTCTTCATGCAATCTTTCTATACAGATATAATTATATACCTGTGTGCACATACTTGTACATGCACTAATATGTGAACACACAATATGCTGTTAAATGTATATTATACAGATACTCATGATTCAGAACTTTGATTTTTTGCTTAGTATATATTGTTATCTTTTTTAAAAAAGATTTATGTATTCATTTGAAAGTCATAGTTATAGGAAGAAGGGGAGAGACAGAGAGAGACAGATCATCCATTTACTCCCGCAGATAGGTGCAATGGCTGGGGCTGGGCCAGACGGAAGCCAGGAGCCAGGAACTTCATCTAGGTCTCCCAACTGGGTGACAGGGACCCAAGCATTAGCGCCATCTTCCACTGCTTTTCCCAGGCCATTAGCACCTATCTGTGATGGCAGCATTGCAGGCATCCACTTTATCAGCTGTGCCACAATGCCAGCCCCAGTATATGTTGTTATTAACTTCGACTCTATCATTCTTTGTTTTTATTTTTGATGACTCTTTAGTTTGGCATTTTATAGAATTATAGTAAATTTATACAAAATGCCCATACTTATTTTTGGGGAATGTGATTTATTTCCTGTGAGGTGTTTTTTTTGTTTTGTTTTGTTTTGTTTTGTTTTTTTTTTTTTTTTTTGTAATAGGACTTAATGTCTTTGGATCTAAAGTATTAGTTGCATCAATTGTGGTCAATTAATGTAATGGACTATTATTTAACTGCTAAAAACCATATGACCATATGACTAAATTGCTTATTGACAGAAAAAAATGTTTATGTTATTGTTTTAATACTAGGTATGGTCCAATGCCATTTTTGAAGCAAAAATATAACAGTATATATTAATATATACCTACTTCCACATGCATTTCATGTGGAAGTATTGTCATGTATTTCAAAAGTTACAAGCATTGTGGTTGTTCCTCGGTAATGAGGAGGTTGTGATTATTTTTGTTAATATTTGTACAATTAAAGTGTAATGGATAACAAGAAAGTAGATATTTGGAAACATCTGTAAGGATAAGAAGGCACTTGAACATCCGGTTAGACCTGAGGTACAGGGTTAGATCACTGAAGAAGTGGTTTTTCCCAGGAGTGTTGTTTGTCTTTTATTCAGGTCAAGACACTGAGGAAGCAGGCAGCTCCATGTCCACCCTGGAGAGGTCACTGGCTGCTCGCCGAGCTACACGGGCTAAGCTCATGATTCCCATGGAGGCCCAGGCCAACAATCCTGGTGAGTGAAGACTGATGCCACATGCAGAAATGCGGTGCTCTCTGGGTGCATCTGTCCTGTGCGAGAGCAAATACTCAAGTGTATTAGAAGGCTCCCAGAGCTCACTGAGCAAATGGAAACAATGGAGAAGGAACAGGACCACATCAATTATAATTTGACATCAGAGTCCTCACTTTTTTTTTGTTGCATTTTCTATACAATTGAATGGTCTGTCTGTTGGCAGACAGATGGCTACATATTCAAGAAATAGTTTATAAAAGTAGTTGTGTAGGCCGGCGCCGCGGCTCACTTGGATAATCCTCCGCCTGCGGCACCGGCACCCCGGGTTCTAGTCCCGGTTGGGGCACCAGATTCTGTCCCAGTTGCCCCTCTTCCAGTCCGGCTCTCTGCTGTGGCCCGGGAAGGCAGTGGATGATGGCCCAAGTGCCTGGGCCCTGCACCCGCATGGGAGACCAGGAAGAAGCATCTGGCTCCTGGCTTCGAATCGGCGCAGCGCCAGCTGTGGCAGCCATTTATAGGGGGTGAACCAACGGAAGGAAGACCTTTCTCTCTGTCTCTCTCTCTGTCTAACTCTGCCTGTCCAAAAAAAAAAAAATAGTTATGTAAATAGCACTAACTTTTCTGTCAGTGGTATTGAGCTTATTATAATGATTATGTTCCTAGCTTTGCTTTTTAAAAATGTCCACTTTTCACACGTAACTAATCTAGCTCTCTTAAACCAAGCATTGTCAGGTAGCAAGTTATAGTACCACCTTGTTGATGTTTTCAGTCATCTTCTTGCATTCACTGGTCTTAGCAGCTAGAAAACACTTCCTTTAAAATTACATGATCAATCTAGGTAATTACAGTGTCCATAGAGTTAAACCACCTGATATTCTAGACTGTTCATTCTTTGTAAACCTGCAAAGATATTGGAGCCTTCCCATCTCTATGCATCAAGTCCACATTACAGCAAGCCAGTACAACCATGTGAGTCTCTACCTCTTTATATTACTTTATTTTTTCCTGCTTACTTATTTCATTGCCCTCTTGCCAACAATTCCCTCATTCTAGTAGGACCCCCAATTCACTAATTCTGCCATTTTCCCACTGTCATTCATCCCCTCAAGTTCTCATTTCCCTCCAAATTCAACTTACAATCTATAGTCATTTACTGTCTTCAGCTTCATCTTCTATGGCCCTCATTTCCCATCTCACTCACCTGGAAGGAAAAAAAAAAACCTCAGTCTTGATTAAATCAACAACCTCGTGAATTCTGCCCCTAAGCCCTAACAGCTGAATGTGCTTAGAGAAAAACAGCCTGTCCACTGGGCATCAATGTGAGCTCTTAACTATTTAGAAATGCCACTGCAATTCTCTAGTGATTTATCGATTCATTTTACGAGTTTGATGTCTTATTTGTATTCCTACTTTGCAGACATCTGTACCTATTTCCTCTTTCTACTCCCAAGTATAATCTCCCTCTTATATCACTGAACAAAAGGAAGCGCTCAGAAAATGTCATGTTTATTCTTCCATCCAATCAAGTTGGTCTCCTTGGGCTCCTGAGGATCTGGTCCCTATCCCTTGTCTCCTACTTAGGAACTCTCTCCTCTGTTCTCTTTCCTGCATCATCACTTTCCCTTCTTACTGATAACTTCAATAAGCACTCAGACATTAATGTCCTCACAGCTCTTGTTTAGAAACACACTCAGTTGATACTACCTCCTTTCTAACTGAAGCCCTATTCCTCCCATTTCCTGATCATTTAAAAAAGTTATCTGTACTCACTTTCTCTTACTTCTAACCTTTTTCTTTATAAAGTTTACTAAAATTGTCGTAGTTCCTTTCCACTGAAACTATTGTTGTCAAGGTTATCAGGAATCTATACAATGTGCAATCTAGTGATCAAGTCCCAGACTTTGAGCTGACTTCATAAAGGCGCTCACGTTTTTCCTGAAGTACTTTCTTCCCATAGCTGGTGGTAAGCAGAAGCCTCTACTTCTCCTCATACTTGGCTGCTCCCTCTTAATATCCTTCAGTTATTTTTCCTCTTCTTTATGAAATGTCAAGCGACAGAGCATGCCCCAGGGCTCATTCCTAAGGGCTCCTCTCTCTTCTACCGGTGTCACGATCTTAGATAATGTTACCTAGTACCAGTTGCCTTTATGCCATCTGCATGTGTGTGGATTCCAAACTGTATCTTCAACCTATTATCTTGCTAGAATCCACACCAACTTCCATATTAACTGTCAACTCAACTCTCCATATTGTTAAGGACAGACATGTCAGCAAGATTCAAAGCAAAAAACTTGCTTTTCCTAATTCCCTCTTACCCATTTCCAAACGCAGTCATTGAGTTGTTTTCCTCATTAATGGGACCACTATATATCCATTTTCTCAGGTCAGAAGCAGTACTTTCATGCTTCTTTATTCTGATTCCCTCACACTTTAAATTCAGTCTTTGGCCTAATCTTATAGTCTATGCTTTCAAAACAAAAACATATCTGAAATTTCACCATTATTCTTGTTTCCGCTACTGTGCTTTTCCAAGCCACTATGATCTCACAGATTGCTAGACTATAGCAATAAACGTAGCCATTCTCATTTCTTTAGCTTTTGCCACTGCAGCCAGTTGTCTGCATAGCAGCCCTTTGGTATATGGGTTAGATGATGTTTCTACACAGTGATTTCCCAGATCATGTAGAACAAAATCCAACAATTTTACCATGTCCCTCAAGTACTAATGTGATGGAGCCTTGGGCATATCCCTCATTTCATCTCTGCTACTCCCCTGCAAACTCTCACAATCTTATTACCCACCTTTCTGTACCTTGGATAATAAGTAGAGACGCTGCTCTTGCTGTTCTTTTTGTCTGGGATATCTTTTTTGTAGACATTTACAGGCTTCTCCCTTATTTAGGACTGTGTCCAACTGCCATCCTCATCAGTAGGTCTTCCTTGTCCGTGGCCTATCACAGCAACTCTCATTACTCCCTGTCTTCCTTATTCTGCCTCTTGGTTCATTAGGAATATCTGTCACCATCTTGCTTCCATTTTTATGTTTATTTATTGGTTGTTTGTGTCTCGCATCTTAATATAGCACTTAGAAGGGCAGGAGGAGTTTGCCTTTTTTTTTTTTTTTTAATCACTTTGAATCCATAATCCCAAGAACAGCATCAGATACCCGGTAAGGCATTCAATCAGTAAAATGTAATCAAGTAAATGAATTAAAAGTTGTTTCTTTCTACTCCCCTATCCTCCAAAATTCATACATCTCTGCACAATTTTACTATAATAATTGTTTAAAAATGTGACATTTACAATGGAAGCTAAGGGTTCGACTCATGAAGTAGATTCAGTTGTTATACCTGATTCACTCAAGAGAGAACTCAGTTGCAGAAAGCTTAAATGGCTAACTTGCAATCCCATGGTTACTAACTTGTAGAGCTAGCATTTAGGCGCAAAATGTCAGATTTCAGAGTTGTGTGCTCTTAATTATTGTGCCTCCGGTGATATTACTCTGTCACGCTTTCCCTTTTTTCTTTCACACCTTTCACTGCAAAGAGAGATACTGAGCACTTCATTGCCTCTTTTTTCCCTCTAGCTGTTTGTACTGGTAACTAAGATCTATGTGAGCCAATCTTCCCTAGCTTTCATTTCAGAAGTCCATGCACTCCAGTATCTTTATGGAACCTTTCTGTCCCATATATAACTTCCTCATTCAAATAAGTTCCCATATCCTGTGACTTCTCTTTCACAATATCTTTTGAGTCCCTGGCAATCCTCCCATTCCCAAGAGTTGTATTTTGTTCTCTTCTTTATAACCTCACACCTGCACTGTCAACAACAGCTACACAATTATTCTTTCTGTCTTGAGCATCTTTCTGAATCTTGTTCATCTTGCATGCTAGATTTCTTCCTAAAACAAGCTAAACGTGGCATTCCAATCCATAAATTTCTCCAGTAGTTCTTATTGTCTGATACCAAAAATCATTATATAAACTAGAAAAACTACAACTACAGCATACCAGATTGGAACTTAGTTTCCTATTACTGCGCCCTTTCTGCGTCCTGGATTTGTGCCAAATGAGACAAATTGTGAGGTAGCAAATATGCAGTGTCCTTCTTTTGTTTCTTCTTTCTATGAACCTCTTTCCTTTTCGAGAGAACTTGGATAGCTCAAACTAATGAAGCTTTCTTTCTGTCACAGACCAGAGTAGGTACTGATGCTCTCCCAAACCCTATTCTAATTCCTCCAAGTAAAATAATAGTTCTATTTTTCATGTTAATAGAATTTCTTTATACCATTCAGTGGCATTTATGACATAATGCTGCCTTATATGCTCAAACTGGTGATTCAGGTGTGTTCTGGAGCGAGTCTTCTGTACACCACAGCTGAAGCACTGTTCAGATTTCTAGGCACGTGGACAAAGATGTTTGCTGCTCCATTTAGGAATCATTATTTCTGAAAGATTATCTTTTTCTCTTCCTTAACATTTCCTGCCATTCTCTATAAAATGTTAATTAGCAAACAAAATATGGTCTATCTGAAGTTGTTTTTTGGTTTTTAAAACCCACAGGAAAAATGTACTTAATTTCATTGGAGTGCAAAAATCTGTTTATTTGTCTATGATGACACTTCTTTTGAAAACATTGTGTGGCATATGCTACTTCTTAGCCCTACACACATTTTACAGCTAAGTTAGCTGATGCTTATGGGGAACATGCCAACGGATGGCACAGGCAGAAGAACCCAATTAACTGCATTCTCCAATCTCGTGCACTTTTCTGTAGATGGTGACAAAGGGTGAGTGTTTTTACAGTGTCTAAAAAATAATTAAATTTTTTTTACCATAAAGAAGATAACCATATAAACTGAATCCATCTGATATGATTTTACTAAAAATTTTAAGGATATTTGTGAGCCATGTGCTGGCTTCCCCAGAAGTGAATCTCTCTAAGACATGGATTGGAAGATGGAGATTTACTGCCAGGTGCTTCCTGGAGTAACATCTATG